TTAATAGAGCACATACCTGTACTAGAAATACAGTGAACAGTAAGATATAACTTCCCTTTCACTTTTGTGCCCATATTCCAAGGTCTGAGACAAGCAATGGATATGTAAGCCAATTTCCAAAACATAAATTACAATAGTGGAGAATGTAATGAAGTAAAATCTACTTTTTGTAGTGATGAGCTAAAGACTAAAGTGGGTAAGCAGCATATTTAAAAGCATTTAGGCAAGGAATTTGTGGAGAGGTATTGAATAGCAGAGATCAGCAGAGATCTTAATGAAATGAGAGACTGAAAAAAGATCTTGAAGTGAAGGAATTTCCATGGTATTTTTGAGGAAGGGAAAGAAAGACCAGAAACACAAACAAGGAAGGAGCCAGAAACTTGGGCAGTGATTAATTTGAAAATTGCATAGGTCAATGGTAATTGAGTCTACATCTTATTTTAGCTGGGATTGAAAATCCATGCAAGGCTGTATATACAACAGTGGTAAGAACTAATAGACATTATGAAAGTACGACTCTGGCCGTTGTGTGGAAAACACACAGGAAACATGGGTCAACATCAGACATCACTAGCCATTGGTCAGTCCCAGAGGGAACGGACATGGAGCAAACAAAAATTGTGCTCAAGACATTGGTTAAAAATGATCATGTGCAGGGTATATTTTAAAGTCAAAGTACATGAAATATGTAGATATGTTGGTTGCAATGTTTAAGAAGAAGAGCGCAGTTAGGTGCATTCCTTAGATAGATAGTGACAGCAAGTACTACAATAGGGAAGACCAAAGCAGAGTGCTGGTTACACAGTACGACAAGGGATCGTAAGTTTAGTTTTGTCATTTTAAATTGAGAAGACTATTAGGTATTCATTTATGAGCAGAATATAAAGAAGGTGGAAACGTAGCAAATTCAGTAAAGAAAAATGTCACTAATTGCTTCTTCAGTTTATTTTAAGAGATGAAAAATAAGGTATGGTAACTAGAAATAGTGAAATCCATTGTCAGAAGACTTATAACAAGACCTTTCCTCAGTTCCAAAACATAGTGATTATTTCTGATGGGAGCTTCAATAGGTTTGTGGGAAAGTGGAATGAAAGATAATGGATTTTTTTCTATGAACTAATTGGAAGCTTCTTGTATTTTTTCCATTCAATCAATAAGTAGGTATGAATGTAAATATTTCAAATTTCTATGCTATCTTATTTTAAAAAGAATATCAATATTGGTATATTGATAAATCAGGAATAAAACAAAAAGCCAGTAAAGCGGGAAATTACATTAATTTATTCTTAGATCGATAAACCGAGTATGTTCTCTTACATCACTCTGTGTGAGGAAACTCCATATAACTTCAAATTTATGCTGAAAGAAGATAATAACTTAATTCTTGTAATATCACAAAGCATAGAAAATGCCACCATTGCATAGATATTTTTTCAATTAGTTTTGTCTAATGAGTAAGTAAAATCTTCCAATTTTAATTTGCTTTTAACCAAAAACTTTGTCTATTTTAAATATGATTATAATCTTATCAATCCATTAAAATAATAAATGTAAAGTGAATTTGTAGTCATTAGACTTAAGACTGAAACTCCCTAGTGTGAGAAGAAGCAGATTACTACCCCAAGGGATAGATCTTCCAATATTTAGAAATTCAATGTTCTCATAAATAATTTCTCCTTTCTCTGGAAAGCTGTACTTGAAAAAGTGTTTACTGTTCTTTCTTGTGTACCGGACTCCTGGTATAATAGATTATGCACTGGGCTACTAAATACAAGGTCAGCAGTTCAAACCTATCAGCCACTCCAAGGGAGAAAGAAAAGATGATGGTGTCCACTCCTGTGGAGATTTGCAGTTCTACTCTGGACTATTGGGTTGTTCTGAGCTGGAATCGACTGGACAGATTTGGTTTGGATTTTGTTTATAGTTCTGTAGCTTAGCTTTCATTTGTCATCACTTCTCTTCCACTTGGAAGATTATTGCTCTTTGCCAATACTGCTTAGCTAGACGCACCTTGAATAGTCACAACACAAACCTAACATCTGAGATACAGTGGCCTGGAACTACCATATACTCACTATTGTAATGCCCTCCTTGCTTCATTATGACCTGTATTAATATGCTAGGCTTGGATTTGCTGTTGTGGGTGAATACTATTGGAAGATTTGCCCTATCACTACCTCCATTGTTTGTGTAAATAATGTCCAGTCTTTGAGTCTAATATGTACAAGTCAACCATTCATGTATTGAAGTTCATAGCAGGTCTGTACTCATACAATTTCCCTTTCTCTACAGTGTTTTAAATTCTATATCATTAGTTAAATTAGTGACACTAACAATGCATAGTGTTTACCCATTGGGCTGCTAACTGCAAGATCAGAGGTTTGAAACCACTAGCCAGTTCTTCAGAGGAAGGATGAGGCTTTCTACTCTTGTGAAGATTTGCAAGATCGAGACTCACAGGGGCAGTTCTACCCTGCCCTTTATGGTTGCTATGAGTCAGCACTGAATTGACGGCGGTGGAAGTGATGCCCATGAGGGATGATTGATAATGTGCTCTAACATAAAATAACAAAGATGCCTCTAAGGTAAACCAGAGACATATATAAATAATAGATGTATGAATGGATTTTTGGATTGGCACTAACCCAATTCTAACCCCAATCTAAGAACAATTAGTTTTCTATAACATGAACTTGCTTGATACTCACCCTCATGAAGAGATCACTGAAGATATGGATGTTATAGCAAAGTGTAGCAAAAAAAGTAGATGGCGCCTAACTATCAGAAAGAATAGCATCAGGGGTCTTAAAGATGAGGAATCAATTATTTCCACATGGAAGAAGCACACTAGCCTGTGTAAGCCAAGGATTGTAGATGATATAATCCAAATCAAAGGGAGGAAATGGTATCAGAACTTAAATTGTGAACACCTGATTTGCAGAAGAGTGTGAGTAACAGTGGAAGCCCAAGGTCCACACATGGATGACGCCTCCTGTGAATCCCCTCTGATCATAGTTAAGGAATGTGACTAGCTCTGTATCAGACAGTGAGCATTGTAAAGTTGAGTAGGTAGATGTACTTAGGTTAAACTGTAATTTCTTATCATTTGATGTCCCTTCTGACCCATTTTAAAGCTGTTTCAGTTTTTTTTTAAAGGGGAGGGGGTCCCTGTGGTAAAGCCCTTAATGAATCAGGGTGCCTGTGGATAAAGCCCTTAATTACTCCTCTGACCATAGACCGGAATGCGAATAGCCTTGCTATCACATAGAATGCATTGAAAAATGGATTATTCCAGATCTATTTAGGTTAAAATTCAGCACCCTATCATTTGATTGCCCTTATGATTCATTTAAATTTGTTCTAGTTTTTTAATATCTTTTGCCATCTTTCAATTGAGGTTTTTATCTATTTTACTTTGTTATTGTTAGTATTTCTTAAATGTTTTTCTGTATGCAAAGTCCAGGATATATAAGTCTGTAGAGACAGTAACTGGGTTAATGGTTCTTGGGGGTATAGCAAGGGAGGTTGAGGGGGCCTAGGGAGCTAATAAAGATGAGTATAAGAATGAAGAAAATGTTCTGAAACTGTGGTGAAGACTACACAACCAGTCTTGATGTGACTGAACTATTGAATTGTATGATATGTGGATTATATGCCAATAAAACTCTTGGGGAAAACTTTAAATCAGAAGAATCAAATAACATCAGAAGCAAGAGTTTCAAAATTCTAAACGTAGTCAGCACCATGTATTACAATGTATGATTAAAGCAAATTGGGTTTATGGGAGGGGGCAGAGATAAACTATGCAGGCCGACAGGCAGAAGCATCAAATTCTCTTGATTTATAGACAAAGCAAAGAGTCCTGATAGCGTATGGAGTAACGTGTTGGGCTGCTAACTGCAAAGTCATTGGCTCAAACTCACCAGTTGGACTGTGAGCAAAATGAGTCTGTCTACTTCCATAAATATTGAAAATATCAGAATGCTTATGAAGCAGTTTTAGCTTGACTATAATGCAGGACTGCTATTATTTGGAATTGACTCCTCTGCAGTAGATCTAGGCAATTCCTTTTTTCCTTGTTGTTATTGCTGAGAGCAGAGAGGTGGCTGTGAATACTGCACTCAGTGTCAAATACACCCTGGCAGACATGGGTCTTTCTACCGCACTTAGACAGGAATCTGCCTCCAATCAGTAAAGATTTCTAAAAACCACATCTGGGTTTCTAACCTTCACCTTGATCTATCACACTGTTTCATTATTCCTGTCAACTTCAGCTTGGGCTCTAATTTCTAAATTATCGACTTCAGCTTTTTCTAGCATGCTGGATGGCCCACTCATCTTTAAACCTCCAGCCAGACTCCCTCCCAGCTCAGTACCACTACCTCCAGGAAAATGACTCAGTGTGCAGCTTGGTCACTTTGAACTCAGACTTTGACTGGGCTGTGGTTTATTCTGATCCCTCATCTATGACGCAATGTTAGTGCTTGCTTATCTCCTCCCTAGGAAATATTTATAATGAAGTTCAAAGCTCCAAAGAACACTTTAATTCCTACTTTTGGTATAAACAATTTTCTGTTTAATGGCAAAGAGGTGAACAATGGATTTTTATCCTAACCATAAAAGAATGTCTACCTTTTAACCTCTCACTTTAGAGGCGAAATAAAAGTTCTATTATTTAATGGATCTTTTCAAGTGTCTTGTGAAACAAGCCTGTGCACTTGTCAAAAGTAACTATTATTAGTACTTCAAACATGGAAATTTAAATAGCACAGAAAATGTAAACCCACTTTAATCTTCTTGAAAATGTCTGCAAAAAAAAGGACAAGAAGGGGAAAAAAAGCCCTTTAGCTCTTTATTTTACATTTTATAGGGGATCCTTTGTTTCTTTACTGATTAAAAGACTGATTTTATGTTCCTTTCTTTATTTAATGAGGATTCTCTTGAATGCCACTGTCATTTATTGAGGATTTGCTCTGTGAAATTTGCCTAAAAGACTTTACCTCAAAGGCCTGAAAGGTCAATCCGACATAGTAGTCTTCAGACACTGTTATTTTCCACACGCATTCCTTCATCGGTCTATAGTCATCAGGATAATTCGGAGACTGAATTTGCCCTTCATTTTTGTGTATCTCACCTCCACAGATTGCTGAGGAAAGCAAACCATAAACAAACAAGCCCGTCATGACATTTCCTCGTCATTCTCTCCTAAGTCAATATTGTAATTCCATTGCTATAGCTCTGAACAAACAGGTGTGGCTAAAAATACCAAACTTTGCTGGTTATACTCTTGTAAATACTTAGATAATAAAACACCTCGTCACTTAAGTGTAAATGTCAGATAAAACCACTTAAGGAATACATGCTTTTTAACCACAGTGTTTTCACATCTTTCCCCATAAAAAAGAAAAAGAAAGAAATGCTCTTCTTTTTCAATGTTTAAAAACCTGTACATGTTTTGTTAATTTGTTTTAAGTCATTTGACTCCAAGATTTCTTGATCTTCTTCCTTTGACCTGTTGACCTCAGGTACAACAGCTGCTCAGGAAAGCAGGTTCCTTCTCCAGTGAACTTGCTGGGCCTCTGTGACATCAACGTCTCTGATTCCGTACAGACCGCCCCCTTCCTTGTTATACAGTTCATCCTTTCTACACAATAATGTCTATTTTCAAAGTTTAAGAGAAGCAGAAAGTTACTCTTGGAACAGTTTAGGACTGGCAGAAGCAGGGGATTCTTCTCAACCCACTAGTTGCTCTGCTAGGCTTTTAAATCAGGAATCACAATGCAATTACTATTACTTTAGAGATGTCCAAAAAAAAGTGTTTGACACATTCTTCCTCGAACACTGACTCTCTCCTATCAACAGCGCTTGCTCCAGAAATGTTTGCAATTGAATTCTAAGCAATCGCATAACAGAATATTTCAGCAGTACAGAAACCAAGCAGAACAAAACCAATACAAAGAAAAATGATAACTTCATAATATATTAATATCAAAGTATAATACAAGAAAATATAAGCACTCTTGTGGAATTTGGAGATTCTGGGTTTTTCCCCCCTACACATCCTTATCAATACCCTACAACTGATACCAAAAAGGAAATTGTTCTTACAATTTATAATTACTAAGCAATCTTATTAAAGTCATCCAGGTGACTATCATAAATCAACTTCCAGAAACTTCATAATTTTAAAGGATGTCATTATGTTCTAATGAAACTGAATGAGAAAACATTTCTGCATGTGACTTGCCTTCATACACAGCTGCAAAACCTTTTCCTACCCAATTACTGCTGCTCCGAAACTCAATCCACATTCTGCTGTCTGTAGAGGTAAGAACTTCAGGAAATTTGTCCCCACAAAATCTACCTAAAAAAAAAAAAAAAGGAATAAATGGAGATTCCCAAAAAGGACTATTTAGTACTTAACTGCTTTCTACACTAGCTATAAATTATACATATAAAATCGAATCCATTAACCAGAGATTTGCATATGCCTTAACATTTATTTGGAAAAGGTGGATAAATAAAAATAACTCTTCAGATGTGTTTATAAGCACATTTAAACATTTTATCCTCCTGAACATCCACTGATGTATTATCATCTGTGTAACTGAGAAGCAAACCAAAACATCTTTGTAAAAGATCACATCAGGTTGGTGGACAGAAACAAAAAGATGCTCTGAGAAATAGGTTCAAGATGTCAGGTTGGTTAACAGTAAAGGAGTGCACTTGGTTACTGTGCTCTCAACCTAACATGAACTTTTTTCGCCCAGCACATTCATTTTTTTTCTCAAGACAACCTCTGAATGTCTCCAAGTGTGGGGCACGTAGCCTAGAGAAGTTCTGCTGAAACTAATATTCCCATGAATTGCAGAAACATTCTTAAATGCAGGCTCTGCTACAGAGGTTAAGAAGTGGGACTTGCTACTCCATTTCAAGCACCAGGACGTGACTCTGCTGCTGCTGGCTCTGGGATTGACTTTGAGGAGTGAGGTCTTGATGGAAACAGGGGAGGCTGTACGCATGACAGTCATCAGAAGACAAAGGCATCCGAGTGGACTATGACAATACTGAAGCACAGGATGTTGGAGGGGTTCAAAAATAAAGTGCTCTCCAAATTGTAGCCTCAGATGTGATTTCCCCCTATGAGTTTAATAAAAGACTTCCTTGGAATGTTCATAATATATTACAAAATCTTTCATGGAGATAAGAAACTAAAAGTTTTACTCAACCAGATATCAACTTGGAGCAATTATTTTTTTCTTTGAATCACATCTGGAAAAAAAGCTTTTACCCCTTATTTTAGAAAAATACTGTAGATATCAGTATTTGAATTTGTTATGGACATTGTCCCTTTTAGTACAATTCAGTCCTTTCAGCAAAATTTTTATATAAATAAAAATATCTGTAGAGTACACAAGTACATTGAGCAGATCTACTTCTAAATATAAATGAGAAATCACGATCTAAAAAAAAAAAGTGAATTAGAAGATCAATGGAGCGTAGATGCTTCCATGTCCCAAACAGCTCCACCTTTAAGTAAAGCAGAGCACAACAGTAAGTTTGTCTCATGAGGGTTATGGGCCTGAGTTGTGGCCCCTGGTGAACGGTGGGCAGCAGGCACTCATCCGCACCAAGTGTTAACATAATTTTATGATAGTGGACTGCAGTATCACACGCTGAGAAGCAAAACGGTGACATCTCTAACAGGAGAGATGGTGTGTTTGTCACAGACGTCAGCTGCTAGCGCATACCTAACTAACATCTCACCCTCTAAAACCACACACACAATTTATTGGATTTTCCTCAAAGGTACAAATTTTAAATGGAAACAAAAAGAACAAAATATTGTAGGAGTTACTGTAACAAATGACTAAACTACTCTCCATCATTATTTTCAGATCCAAGTGCCTACCTTTCAATTTTTAATTCTCTTGAAAGCCGGTCCATCAATTTACCTATTTTAAACACGTTTACATTGGTTGAAAAAATTTAAAATAAATAAACAAACATAATGCTGATCCCATACTTTTAAAGTAAACAATCTCTTACCAAGGAGAGGCGATTTTCTCCAGTATCCATCTCTTACTTCAATGTAGTCATACCAGCACAAACTACTCTTGTAGAGGTCCATTGTGGTAAAATTTAAAGCAATCTGCCAAACAACATGACACGGGGCAAAAAATGATTCCAAATGCACATGGCCTTTGATGTCTTGAAGCAAAGAATCCTGACTATGGTGAATATCAATTCACTGATTTTCATTCCATATTAGTATGTCCCAATTATGTTTTCTCAATAAAAACACTTGAAAACAACTTTTTCTCAGTCCCATAAATTTATAAAAACACACTATTACTATTTGAACAAATAAACATTTAGCCATTAGCCTAGAGTTTCTGCAAAGTTAATGTGAACCATTGTGAAATAAACAGAAATCTTTACTCAATAGGTTTATTTTTAATTGTGCTAAGATAAGCATAAACTGTGAAAAACTCTGATTTTGCTAAGAATGCCTTGCTTTAACAGTTTCTTCCCTAGAGGTTACCAATTATACACTCATACTTATTCTAAAAATAACTGCCATATGTTGTATTCCAAAAATTTGGTGTACTGAAATATTTTAAATATAGCCCTAGGAAAGAATCTATCCTCTGCAATCAAACACATATGTTATGCTTCTTCTAGAATATATATTCAAACCCACTTCCATTGAGTTCACTCTGACTCATAGAACCCCTAATAGGAATGAATAGAATTGTTTCTTTGAATTTCCTAAACTTCAAATCTTTATGGAAGAAGGCAGCCTGTCCTTCCCAAAGGAACTCAATGTATAACCCACTTTAGACTATAAATTCAAAGAGCCTTGAAATTGGAAGACCTTTAATGATTCTTCCTTCTGGACTTTGTTTTGAAATTCTGCTGTTTTTTTCCTTTTCTTTTTTCCTTATTCTTTAAATAATGTAATAAAAATTCTAGGAAAAACATTGCTAGTTATAGGCTCTACTTTAAAAAATTAACTCTTTTGACATTTCTAATTTTTTAATGTAGCCCTGGTGGCATCTCGGTTACACATTGGGCTGCTAACTGCAAGGTCAGCAGTTTAAAACTAACAGCTGCTCCTCAGGGAAAAGATGAGGCTCTGGACTCCTGAAGCCGACAGGGGCAGCGCTACTCTGTCCTATGCATCCTCTGTCATTTGGAGGCAAAATCAACTCAGTGGCAGAGAGGTGTGTTTGGTTTGGTTTTCTTTACTTTTGTGTTCCCTTATTTTTACAAAAGTTGTGTGAAAAACTAGCATAAGCCAACACTTATCTGATGAAGTATAATTTATATTGAAAATCATTTTTATATAAAAAACTCATTCTAATTCTTTTTTAGATAGATATCAAAGATATTTAAGATTCATAGTGAACCTGTTCAAAATTTTTGAAACTAAAAAGAATGTTTAGTTTATTGCTGACAGCAATAAATCCAGAGTATTTTTTTCATTAGAAGGTCATTTTATTGGGGGCTCTTACTGCTCTTATAACAATTCATACATCAATTGTATCAAGCATATTTGCACATATGTTGCCACCATTATTTCCTAAACATTTACTTTCTATTGATCCTTTAGCATCAGCTCCCTTTTTCCCCTCCCTCCATCCATCCTGGCGACCCCTTGATAAATTACAAATTATTCTTATTTTCCTATCTTACACTGACCGCTGTCTCTCTTTGCCCATGGTTTCTGTTGTTCTTCCCCTTGGAAGGTTGAGGGGGTGGTTATGTGCCAATCATTGTGCTTGATTCCTTCCTTGCAAAAAGCTGAGGGTAACAACTTTTTCAAGGAATGATCAAAAATTGAAAATATAAATAATAATTAATACTAAACCTATATATCCAGTTTACACAAATAATATCTGTACTTTTAAAGAAAAATATTTAACTGAAATATAGGCAATGATTATAGACAACCAATTACTAGCTTTTCCCAGAAGGAAGATACAATCTAACTTACAAATATTTCTTATGGCATATTTTGCATCAAGGAACTATGGCAATCACTGATGAATTTAACAGCAAATTTGTTTTTAATGAGCATAGAGATTACACATTTTATTATAGAAGTCAAAACTAAGAATGTGTCTAAGTATAAGGAAAGGCAGTTAAATCTAGTAAAGGCATTACTATCTCACTATTCAACTATTTTAGTTTCTTTAAATATGTATTTCCTTAATTATAAAGAGAGAAAACTACCAAAGATGAGAAAATAGAAACTTTTTTTTTCAACGTAATACATGAGGAAAAAAACAAAGGAGGGAAAAAATGCATTGCCTTTGGGTCATTTGTTCTACTCAGAACAGCCACACACGCACTGTCTCCAAGGTCAAGTCTTCTAAGAGCCAAGAGCCTCATCTTTTTCTCCAGGAGCAGCGGGTAGATTTGAACTGACCTTTTGATCGGTAGTCATTCAAAACTTAACCAACAGCACCACCAGGCTCCTTTTGAAATATAGTAGGCTATGGAATAATTGGTGGTATAATTTGGTTTTACTAGAATTCCTCCTTTATTTTTGTCTTCTTTACTTGTAGTTTTCTCTGTTTTGTTCATTGTTTTTTTCCCCCTCATTTGTCTATCATTCCAAATATTCTCAAGATTATTTATAAAATCTTCTAAAAATATCAAGGACACAGCACTTGCTATATTTCCTCTTTTTCAGTAATCTTCAACATTTGATTATCAAGATGCTTTCATTCTTAATTCTACTCTCTAAATGACCTGATACATTTTTCCAGCTTTAATATCAATGCATTATTATGTAATTCTTGGGATAGGATTGGAAAATAATGTCTGGATTTTCCCCTTAGCTTATTTTTATACTTTAAGTTAACACAAGTTTAAATGCTTCTCCTGCCTCATGTTTAATTCTGCATTTATAGTCTCCCTATAATAAAAACTCCGTATGATCATATAAGAATTCATTTATTATACTAGAGATTTTAAAACTAGAATACAAATAGAGAAAAAAATAGACCTCAAGTCATATTTTGTGGCTTCTCTCTTGGATTTTATAGTGGTAAGCAAATAGTTTTCACTTATTTTTCCATAAGGGAAAAACAATCAGCTAACCTGAAAAGATGTATCTTTTCAAATGTTCCATAATTAAAAACAATGTGGTTGATAGAGAACAGATAATTAATATTTGATGTGTTATAAGGTGCACGCACACACTCATATAGTTGGAAGAGGGATAACATCAAGCAGAACGTTTCTTATCTTTTTTTAATCTTCTATTTTGAAAGTAAACATCATGGAGTAACAAGACTTAACTGAATTTAATATAAAACAGGCTTTTAGAAGCATGAAATAAAATAAAGATAGGTTCCTAAAATCAAATCTTAGTGCTCTGACAATAAAAATAAATTTCTTGCCTATGACTAAATTTTTGTATATAATCCATAGTGCATTATAATTACATAAATTTTTTATTTCTGATAATATAAAAATATTAATTTAAAATTAACAGAGAAATATGGGTTGACAGAAATTCAGGTACAATTCTAAAATTGCTTGTAATTCGTTGGAAGCCTTACATGCTATACAACAAAATTAAATTGATATAATTGTTGCTGAGTTTCTTTTTTAATAGGTTGCAGCATATGAATGCTTAAGAAAAGTGGAACAAAAATAAAAGGACTGAATGAATAACTACGAGTCTCCAGAGATCAATACAGAGGATATTATTTTTATTTATTTATTTTTACCAGTTTGCTTGAAATAATTTATTTATGGGTTATTATATACAGAGGATGTTTATAAACACACTTAAGAAAATATTGATGACCTAAACAAATCCCACAACATTTTAAAAGGGCATTTAGAATAACACTTATACCCTCTTATTTTGAGAATTGAAAAGATATAACCCTATATGCCTCATCAGTAGAATGATAGTTTTAAATACTTCTTAATATTAGTTATTAGAATCCAAAGCAGTAAGCAATGAAATATATTGCTAAGCTACTAGTCAGCTACTTAGACAAGCCTTGTAAGAGCTACCGTAGACCATAGTTTGCTTCTGGAAACTACAACTCATGGATTATAACTATTTCTGGTCCACGCCCTGAGCTGTTGCGACTAAAACTGTATGGCCCACAAAGTCAACAATATTGACTTGCTATTCTTTTCACAAACATTTTGTCAGCTACTGGCTTGTGTGATTATTAAGGATTCCGGCAGCTCTAAAATTCATCATGTAAAAGGTGAAAAATTTTAAAAAAAGGAAAAAAGAAACACCCATCTTGCTTCATAACTAGAATTTTCATTACGGGTTCACCTTTTAACAACTGTTTGCAGTTTATGCTGTTGAATGAGTAATCTAACCACAAAGTTGTTAAACAGAACGATTGTATAGAAATTAGTGGGAAATACTAAGGTAGGCAAGCAAACTAACCCTTTGCTAAGATGCTCGTGTACTATTATTTCCATGATACACATTCAGATATTCTTCATAGTGTAAAACCGGGGGGAGGGGAGGGGCGAAGGATAAGGCAATGGACAATCTATTTGCTGGGAAACAGAAAAAACAAACAAATAAGTTTCATAGTTAAATCAAAATGTTAAAGTAAAGGGTGACAAAATTAAAGAATCAACAGGAGAGCTTGGGGCCTTGGTATAAATATCTGATTTGGCAGTGACTAGTTGTTGACTTTGAACTTTTCAAGGATTTCACTTTGCTTGGACCCACTGTCAACACCTGTGGAAGCAGCAGTCAGGTTAACTGACGTATTACACTGCTGCATAAAGACCACTTTAAAGTTACGAAACAAAGCTTTCACCTTGAGGGCTGAGATCCGTTTGCCATAAGCCATGTTGCTTTCAGTAGCCTCATATGATTTCACAAGCTGAACAATTGCTAAGGAAGATCATAGAATAGATGCCTTTGAATTATAATGTTGGTAAACATGGACTGTCATAAAATAAACAAATGTGCCTTGGAGTATTGGCAACCAGAATCTTTCTTAGGAGCAATGATGGTGAAATTTCACCCCACGAACTATGGAATTGTGATCTGGGGGAACAAGTCTTTGGAGCGCTTTGTTGGGGTCAGTCAAGAAAGACTCTCAGTTAGATGGTAGACAGAGTGGCTGCAACACTGAGTGTGAACAT